GACTCTGGAACAATCACTTTGCCACATCCATTTTCTTTTGCATTTAACACTTAGAAATGTGTTGTCCGGAGAGGGGGGCAGATTAATAATCTCAAAAGCAACAAAATAATCTATTTATCAAATTTAATACATACATTTTATAAAGATACACACAGTTTACACTGTTTAATAAATGGTCTGACTATGTTTGTAAAAATGAGAAAATTCACTTTCAGATGCTTTATAAGCTTGCAAAAGCACGTGTCCACTTTGGTCCCTATTGGTTATTGAGTGTAGCTTGATACAGAAAAGATCAAGTTTATTAATTAATAATAATAAAGTAAAAAATACAAAAAATGATGGGGTATGTTTACTGAGCAGATTGATATATACATCTCTGTAGTTGCAAACACCAGGCTCACAAGAATTTAAAGCTTTAAAAAACCAAAAACAAACTGTTACTCACGACAGATCTCTGGAGTTCTCCATGCAATGCAAACATCATGCTCATTGCAAGCCTGAGCGTAAGCTGCAACTGCTGTGCAGAAACATTCACAGTCTCCTCCAGTGTCGCAGGCACATGAGTCTTTTACGCAGTTTTCATAAAATGGAAAAGGGCTAACCTGAACAGTGGTGCAAATTTGATGATGATTTTCTTTTAGAGCATTGTTTTAGATTTGCGTGAATGTGAACAAGTTACAAATTCTCATTACCTTTTTGTGGCATTCTTTAAATGTTTCTCCAATTATGATGCTACACATCAACTTTGCCCACTGATGTCGACCGGGTGTTACTGCGCACGGATCAATGTTCACCTCCGCATCTGGACAAGAGCTAGACACTTTCCAGCTGTTTGCAAACTCAAGTAGATTGCTCACCACCAGCTGACCCTGAGTGGTATAGTCATTCTGTCCATCACCATCGAAATTACCACACAGGCCACACACCTCTCCCTGTGCAAATAAACAAAAGAGTCAATCGAGCAATGTGAGATCTTAATAAATATAATTTAGTGATTTACATTTATCATAATTTCATTAATATATTAGGCTCCTAGGAATTTTCTTTCTTTTTTAGAAATGATTCTGTTAATTTTTTCAATATGAGGTATTGAAAACCACAAGTATGTGGTCAGACAAAAAGGGTACAATAAAATAGTAAAACTTTAATGCAAGAATTTAATGTAACAGTTACTGTGACTCACGCTGTGCGTTGGTTCAAGCAGGATCCGAACAGCTGTTTTACGATCCCACATCACTGCCATCCCAATCTCAGATTCTACAACCACATACAAGCCAACATTCCTTATCTTGTACTCGATCTGAGGTCCATGTCCCAGATCATCCTCTTCAACTCTTCCCCTTGATAGTTTAATTTCATTTCTCTGTAATGAAGGAAAGGAAATTTCTGTTGGTTCAATTGCAATGCTGAAAATATATTTACTTAGATTTACTATTGTTGGCATAAGAAAGCTTTGATATTGTTTATAAGTGATCTTACCCCCAGTTGAATTCTGACTCTTTTAGAGCAGGTGGTGCCCGTAGAGCCACAAGGTACATTTTCAGTGATAACTCCAAAGCTGTTGTGCACCGTTTTATTCCCACAGTTGTTCTGTTTAAAAAAAGAAAAAAAAA